GGTGTTTGCTAGTAAAAAATTTAAATTTAGGAATTTTACTTGATTTATCATCAAGCAACATTGCATTTTTCTTATTTAAAAAAAAAAAAAATTTGAACTTGGACCTTTGTGCTTGCAAAAAAAAGTCTCAAAAGGACTTTTTTCTTTTTCCCTTCTCTCCTCACTCATTGACACCACTTATTTTGAGTACTTTCACGCCTTGGCAATGTTTTAGACAGCAGATTGGAAAAAAAAACCTAAACATGAAATATACATTTTTGTTGACAATTTACAAAAAATATTAAACACTTAAAAGGTAGATAATAAGTAATTGCATTTTACTTGGGACATTTATTTTTATAATCTTTTAAATAAACATGGCTGAGAGAGTCAAATATGTATGCAATAATAGGGTGTGAAGGGAATAACCATCCTTTTAGCATACTATCTTTTTGTAGACAAAGGTTAACCATTACCAAAAATTGATGTAAAATATAGTTTCATTGGTTATAGATAAAAGTGCTCAATATCAGAGCTAGTGTATATGTAAATATAAAAGTAACAATATCCACATGCATATAGTATTAGGTTTAACCTAAGGCAATGGAAAGTTAATACAATGAGGATAAAACATCTTCAGGTGCGGAGTTGAAGTAACGGTTCCCAAGATAAATTTTAATGTTAATTCAGACGATATGAAGATAATCCTATAGTGTTTATTAAAAGATGGGTAAACAAAGTGGTTTAAACATCAGAAAACTTCCACATGGTCTCTAAGTTTCATGCAACAAGTCTAGATGATGTCCAGTTTCTGTTTTCTGTAAAGCACTTCCTGTTTTCATTTAACATCTTGTTCCAGATACTGATGCTAATGCGACTTCTTAACTCTAATGAAGATAAACTGAAAGTTGTACAGGTAATTTATGGACATAAATTTATATACAAGGTGCTGACTTATATTTTTGTATTGTTAAGGTAAACCTGTTTGTTTTTTTTTTTATATTCATTTGTTGTGGGCTCGTATATCAGTTTTTTTTTTTTTTTTGTTTACATATGTATACTAATCTTTTTCTTACTCCCAGCCTTTGTTCATCCGTGCAAAAAATACATCTAAAAATCAATAGTAAGGTCAATAACTTTTGTTAATATTAAACCCAGAAAGTAAGAGTGACCTGAACCAAACAACATCAAATTAAAAATGGCCAACTCCCTGAACTACTCTAGTAAGTACCTGACTTCTGCTGTCCTCTAGCTTTACAAGAGCCAGATCAGGCCAAAAATGGAGTACTGCTGCCTAGTCTCCAGTTTTGATAGTGTCTTGGTGACATTATTTTCCACCTTTCAACCCCTTTCTCACAGACAAAACTTTGAAAGCCTCTTACTGCTCTATTGCTATTTCTATGGAAAGTGTTCTGACAAACTATCTTCCTCTGTTCCACCAGTTCTAACCTTCATGACTAAGACCCACCATGGCATGCCCATTGTAGCAAACCATCCACATTCCTTTCATATTCCATTTGTGAGTTGTATGTTCCACTCAAGCAGCTTCTTCCCACAAACTGCTGTGGAACTGACTTCCAAGAGGGTGCTTCCCTAACTACTGCATTCTTGATCTGTTTAAATCTGTTGTCTTCCCCACATATTCCCATAAACTGTGCCTCTTACTTTGTAACACCCTACTTTGAGTGGCTCCTGGGCCTTGTACAGGGTGAACATTGTAGAAAAGAATTAGTTTTTATTGTATATGTCTTTCTAAAAACTGAAAACAATACATATGATTAACCATTTTAAAAATTGACTAGGTCGTATATAGTGTTTTTACTTTGACACTTGTGTATTCAATGATAAAACTGGTTTGCACATGGCCTAATGGTTAGAACATTAGCATTCTAACCATGAGGCCTAGTCAGACATTATTATTATTATTATTATTATTATTATTATTGGGTTGTGGTTATGATGTTTTAGACTGGCATCTTTTAATACTAGATTCATTGTGTTAGGCAAGCCAACAAAAAATAAATTTAATCTCATTTATGGGTCATTTAATGCCAAAATTTAATTTTCTTGGGAGCTTTGAAGTAACAATTATGTTATTCTGATTTCACAATTGAATACATGGTAGACGATACTCAGCTTTTATTCATATACATGTTTGTGTGGACATAATTACTTGAGGCAGTGATATGTGTGTTTTATATTGTACTTTTGTTGAAGTTATATTTTGCAGCACAGTTTGATGTCTTTAAAAAAATTGTAGGGTATTATATGGATTAATGTCATGAAAAAGTTCTTTCATGTTGGTTGATTTTGTTTAGTGGCATATTAACCTGGTCTGGGTTATTTAATGCTGAAATCTAAATTTGAACATAATTTTATGACTTCAACTAAACACATTTTGAATGCAATTCTATGCCTTCACTTATGTATTGCTGGTCATTTTGCTTTAAAAAGATATCGGTCATTTTTATTATAAAAATGTATTTTTATACTTTCATAGTGTTTTGTTTGGACGTTCACTATTTTCCCATAGCTGGGACCCTAACAGGTGCTATCAGCACAGGCCAGGGTGGACCGGGGAACAATAGCAATTAAGAGGTGGTTCCATGCTCCTCATGACCTCCAATCTCTCAATGAGAGGCCTTGTTGTTGAATGTAGTTTATAGTTATACCCAGGACTTTATATAGTTTTTACCTGTCATGATATATCCTAGAAGGACATAAATTCACAGTTAAATAGATTCTAAAACCTTAACATACACTTTGCATTATAATCCAGAAAATGTACCCTATGTGAAATTAGGTATTTAGATTACATTTACCAAAACGCATCAGATTACGCTGCCTATTAGGCAAAGATAACATTGTAGCCATTGTGAATGTTATTATGTCAGTTGTAATCTGTTGCAATTTGCCATGCCGTGATCTGTCCTATGTTTCAACTGGTGTTATATTTTCCTGTTGCATTGGATATCTGACAGGACTGCAGTAAACCTTTTATCTGAAAACAAAGTCAAATCACAAAACCATCTTGATGTTAACAAATATTTATTACTGGCAATTACTACATAATTCCATCTTTTTGTTTGTGACTGGATTGGATGCTAGTCTTAACACAAGGATTTCTTTAATTTCAGGCCCTTTACTAAGAACAGTCAGTTTAACAATTGTAGCAACTTCTTTCGTCACTATTCTTTCTTTTATTCCAGTTTGTTCTTTTTTAATTTTGTTCCTCTTACTCTGGTGGAAGGTAGCGCCATATCTCTAATGGTCAGAGGACAAAATGAACCTTACTGATTGGAGTAGCTCTCACCCAGTAGTTATTGTGGGTGTTGACCTTTCTGTTTATATAGTCTTTGTATACTGGAATTGTCACATAGGTCTTTTCTTCAGACACAGAAGTTCCCCTTGACCAGATGCATTTAGTTGGCTATATCTGGCCACTAGATAAGCCCATGAATAACCTTCCTTACCTTCTGAAGCCAGGTCGAAATACATATATTTTGGGTGACTAGGAAAATATTCGGAAAAGTTTTTCTTGCATAGTCATTCAAGGATTCTGTCATAAGCACTTTTTAAATTAGGAATACAGGTTTCAACTCTTACTAATTCCAATCTCAAGTTTTAATCAAGTCTTTTTTTATACATCGTAATTAACCGTTTCATTTGGTTTCTTTTTCCATCCCCTCAACTGCCTGTACCCCCAGTATCTTTCCTTTATTCATTATAACTACTTTGTTTACTCCACAAAACATTATTCATAAACAGCTACAACCACAAAACTTTATTCATATACTACTAAAATCTTGGCTGAGGTGGTCACTCTGACACAATCATAGCAAAGGTCATCTTTAGTAAATAGATCTCAATGTATGGCATACTTGCATTAATTATTACAGACTGGAAAAGACAATTTCAATCAGTTCTCTTTAAGGGGTTTGTTCCTTACTGGGATCACATCACATAAAAATGATGGTATATCACCTGTGTAATAATAGAATTGTTAAGCGATTTCATTGACAATTGGAAATAGCATCATCCATAAAACAGACCCACATAAATTAGTTGACAATTTACACTTGGTACTGATTTTAATCAGGAACATCGCCATCATCACTTCTAAAATATAGGTAAAAATATCTAAGCATTTGTATTTATGATCCAATCACATTTTGGATAAACTAATGTGATACTATAAACACCCACATAGAAGGGGAAGAGGTAGTTTTTTAGCAATCTCAAGGGTTTCTGTTTGATAGACTGATAGGTGGGTCCTTTTGAAGTTTGGCCTTCTAAGAAGCATTCACTTTAAGCAAAGGGGAATTGGAAGTAAAGAGATTTTTGGAGATCAAGTGGCAACAAAACAGGAAATAGGGCATATCCAGGTGCGCGTCTATATTAAGAGTCCTGTTTGGGATCAGGGAGAGTTCTGATCTGCCTTTGGTGGGAAATGGATGTGTCCACTGTGTGGTCCTGAAGCTTCCATATTTGCCATCCACCATATCAGGATGAGTAGATGGGGGAGGAGTTGATAGGAGAAAGAGCTGACATAGCAGAAGTTTTTCCAAGGTATCACCTACCTACCCATCTGAATAAAACCCCAACATGTAATATGGGAAACAGAGTTTGCATTCTTATTTCTTGACATGGCATTTGTCTTTCATCATGTTACCTTGTGAACATGTAGTATGCTCTTTCCCAGCTTTTGGTGCATATTGATGAGATCAAGAATCAGAATGCAACATGGTGGTAGGGGGGTGATCACTGGCTGGTCACTAGAAAGCTTGGGCAAGGGTTGCAGTGTATTTTTACAATAAAATACAGTCCCTTTTTTCTTACATTTTCTTGAACCTCAACCAAACCACACTTGAACAAACTTAAGTAATGTGAATGTAGGTGTTAGCAAACCACAAGACAAAAACACATTATTTTTTTTACCAATAAGACCTAATTTCTTAAATCAGATCATATAAAAACATACAATCTGATAAAGTCAGTAGATAAATTATATCTTGAAGCTAATGCATCACAGAGAGATCAAGTTGCTACTACTTAACATCTACTGTTTGGCCAGCAGATTCTTTTTGACTCCTGCAACTGTAAGTTGTGACATTCCCATTATCATTTACAATTAGTGGGTGTTAACTGCTTTATCTTCTTTTTACCTCTTCTGTGAAAACCCTTATACACAGATGCATACACATAACTTTTTCTATAAATTTAAATTTATATATTTAGTGACATTGCATTTAAATTTTGGCAAACTTGTATGTTTGTGCCCAAAAAAATGGAATGTCAAAAGTACAGTTTCTCCATTGACACTCTGCTATTATTTTAATTACCATCACACGATGGCAATGTTTATTGTTTTAAAAAATGATGATTACATTTTCTTTGTTCTTGAGAGTTGACAACACCTTTTTACACCTATCTTCTCTACAAGATCATTTTCTATTGACAAAATAGCCAAAGAATTTAATCTGTCTTGAGTCATGGACAACTACAGGTATGTTTTTATAAGCTTTAGTTTTAGAAGATTCTTTATGGTGCCCCGGTTGACTGTCCAAGTTGCCAGTATCTTGAGCTGGACCTGGTAGTAGGAGAAGTTATGATTTGTTACTGAAGACTATGAAAACTTTCATAATAAACTTGGCTGATTTACAGGCAAATACTCAAGAGCGAGAACCGGATGTGAACGGGACAAAGCCCCGTCACAAAATGACCATTATCTTTCTTTACAAATGTTCCCGACACACGTGTTCCAATTAAAAAAATAAAATAATATTTAAAGTGCTCTATTTTTTGTCCAATAAAAATGCTTCCCTCCTAATTATACTCGTTTCGTTTCTCGAGCCTGTTAAGCCATAAAAAAACGCTATAAAAGGGGTCACACGGAAGTTCAACAGGCAGTCCACAGGTGGCTGCAAAACAGACCGTCACGGTCAGGCCGAGCGATCAGCAGCAGGAGAGCATCAACCACTGTCAACATGTGTGAACAACTATGAGAGATTGACCTAGATCTGAAGCCGGCTTATGAACTTTACCACAAGGTAGCTGTCCCAAGCCCTCATGTTCCTGTTGAAATAAACCACGTAAATCTATTTCTGCTGTTGTCGTATTTCTTTCTTGCAACCATACGCTTGTCTATAACAATTTATACAGTGGAATGTCAATTTAATGAACTAATAGAGGGGAAGGTCAGCCATTAAAGCTGTTTGTCTGTTAATCTAAAGCATTTTTTGTGACCTAAAAACTCCCAGTACAGTATAAAAATTATTTTAAATAAATGTAAATACAGTATATATGTATGTGTATTTTATTTTTAAGTTGTGTAAAATTAAGGTATCTCCTCTGAGGAATTACTTCAGAAGTGTGCTTGTTGAACTCTCTGACTCTGTGTAGAGAGGAACCCAAACGAAGCTATGCCAAATGCAGAGTCTTGTCTGGCATGGCAGACAGCTACCCGACCCTGTTTTTATGGGGTCTACGGGGAATTTTTGCCCAAGTCTATGGGCTCGGATACCCCACCATAAACTCAGCCTTGTGCCACATGGGGCAGTTAGCGAATATCATCTCCTCTGAGGAGGGGAAGAATCCTGCTATTTCCATGTTAACCACAGAAATTAGAAATACAAGCAGGCTAAAGAGGAATGCTTTAATGAAAGGTCCATGGAAACAGAAAAAAATGAGCATTATGCATGATGTAAGTGTCAGTTTAAACTGACATCAAGAGGATATGGATGGTCAGACTACTACTTTGGTTGAAAAGTAAATAAAAGTAAAACAGGGGTTCCCACCCATTTTTGTGTCATTGCCCATTTTCACAGAGAAAATTTTCCACTGCCCATCTGTATAGTAAATATTCAAAAGCATACCAAAATTGTTTGGTAAAAATTTGTTACTGGTTTGTAAACTCACATTATGATGTAGTAAAAAATACCAAAGGGAGGTAACAAATAACCCTGACTTATGTGGTGACTGCTGCTGTATTAAAGAAGAAACATACTGAAACTTGACTATTGAAAACTATATATATAATTTAGTTTTATGTTCAAGGTTAGTTTTATGGTTAGGGTTTAGCATCACAAGTGTTGACAAAATATTAAACTAATTTTGTTCATAATTATAAAATTAAGAAGAATATACACTACTAGCAACTAATAAAAATTCAGCAAATATTTTTTTTGTTCTTGGCCTTCCTTTATCTCATTTATATTAAAAAAAATTATTTCATCTGAAAAACTATTTGAGTATTAATGACCCTTCTCAGAACTACAGAAAATGCCAAAATATTCCTTGTTTGTAGGGAATATTTATATCTTATCTAGGAATGTGACCCAGATTTAGATTCATATTTTGTTCTATACAGATTTTTTGCATATATACTTTGAATATTTGGGGGAGGGAAGGCGAGTAGCATATGTTGAAATAATTTTTTAATACTCAAAATCCTATATTGCTCAATAATATTTCCAATGTCCCACCATTTTCTGTTCAGTTGCTCATCGGCCAGCCAACAGTTGAAATCATCCACCAGTGAGCAATATTATGCAGGTTGGGAAACCTTGAATTAACAGGATAAGAGGTGTGCTCATCAACAGGTTGTATAAAATCAAAGGAGGTAACACATGATAGAAAAAGAAAAGAATACTCTACAGATGGAACACTGGAGAACTATTTTACGATGAGTGGGAGAGGGAGAGGAGAGAAACCAGCAATACACAAAAATATGCATAACTCAAGAACTAGATATATTAAAGCCTGAAGATGAGCACTAGACAAAATGAGCAGGAACAAAGCGGCAGGACAAGATGCGATCATAATAGAAATACTCTCAGCTTTAGACAATTTCAACATCGACAAGAAATAATAAATGAAATCTATGAAAATACAGGCATACTGGAAGACCTTATTAGATTGATCTTCATAATACTACTTAAGAAATGAAGTCCAAATGAATGTGAGCTTCATTAAGCAATCAACTTAATGACCCACATAACTAAAATAATAATCTGAATTCTGAGGAATAAAGTGTGAAACAGTATTAGACCAGAAATAAGACAAGAATAGTGTGGTTTTGTCAGGACAATGGAACAAGAAATGCTATATTTATGGTCAGGATGATATCAGAGAAAACAATACAAAAGTGGAAGTATGTACAATTATGTTTTATAGATTGTGTAAAAGCATTTTGTAATGTACGGCACAGACATCTATTTGAACTGCTAGGAAAACTTGATCAATTCAGAAAAGATGTTAGAATAACTATGAACTTATACTGGAAGCAAACTGCTTACATGCTGATAGAAAATAAATTGTTTATTTATCTGAACAAGCATCCAAGTTTGTTTCTTTTACTCTAACCAACGTCCAACCTTGAGAGGGACATTAATATGCCACAGAATTTAAGGTTAGCTTTTTGCAACTGTTGCATAAGACAACTATTTTGGTGAATAAATTTTAAGATTTAAAGGCTGCTATATGTGGAAATATACAGTACAATGTGATATTTATTCTTTACCATTTTATAAAGAAATCTTTTGATTAAAAAATTATCAAAATATGTAAACCATCTACAATGCAACACTTGTTATTTACTATTTCATAACTATGAAAACAAAATTTTTTTATTCATAATTTTATAAAAATGTCAATGAATTGCTGCATGAAAGAAATGTCTGGGAAATACATTTTTCAAAATTCATAATTACAGTTACTCATTTTTTGTTTATTTAAATTTTCATGTTTGACAGACATTTTTTATAAATTTATGAATAAAAAAATTATTTTCTTATTAATTTCTTTATAAATTGATAAATGATAAACATTATATTGTATTAGTTGGTTTGTATTTTTAGAATGTTGTAAATATAAAATTATTCTTAAACAATCTAATAAAAAACTGCTTAATATTTTTGTTGTAAATTTTCAAGAACAAAAACAAAATGTATGAATTTGCTTTCATGTTTGAGTTTTATTAAAATTCTAATCATCATTTTTAAAATAACAAATATTGCTGAGGGAGTGAAAGTAGTTAAAATAATAGGAAAAAGCCATCCTTTTGATACACTGTTTTATTGTAGGCACAACAGTCAAAGATTGCAAATATATTTTATACTATTGATGAGAGTGCTATGCACTAAAGGAATATATATTCCTATTTGTATTTCCCCTATTATGGGTATCCAATGATATAATAACACCTTATTAGATGGATCAAACAAAATAGTGAAAGAAAAGAATGACAAACATGCTTTGTTTTCAAAGAGATTTTTATACTGTTAAGTCATACACAAAATAATATATAAGTATTTACACTTGTCCTACCCAGAGAAACTATAATGTATGTATGCAACAACAACCAGTGGGAAAATGTAAACAAAACATATAGTGTCTTGTTCCATACAGAGAAACTATAAAACATTTATACAACAACAAGCAGTGTGCAAATGAGGGAGTGACAAAGGGGGTTTATTTGTAATAATTTCCAATGAAATTTTAAGCTGATGGAGGATTCTCCTATGTTTCTGGAGCAGTCATATTTCTATTGCCTAGTGGGAATTTGAATGTGCCAGATTTATCTTCTTATCTCTGGTGAGGACATATATCCCAACATAAAAATGGTCAGTCATGGGTATTTCCCAATGAGAATACTGCGAACCAAAGATAGTTTCTATAATTTGAGTGGGCTGGATTTATCTTCTATGTTTCTGGTGAGGACATATTTCCCAACTGGAAATAGTGATTCATGGGTATTTCCCAATGAGAAGACTGAAAGCCAGAGATAGTTTCTATTGGAAAATGGCAGCTGACTAGCCTGAGCAGGCAGATTTAGCTTGGCCTGTCTTGACTTTAGGAAGCTAACTAAACAACTGATCACTTTTGTCACTCTATGAACTGATGTCACTAAGCAGCTGTCACATGACCCACGTGACTTTCTCTCAACCAAAGGGAGATAATCGCTTTTTACTTCCCTACACTATTGTCTAAAAGAAACCCAATGATGTCTGTGAATTGGCATCCTTCTCAATTCCTTAAGAGAGTCAAAATAAAATAAGTGAACATTTTGATAATAATAATTATAACTAGTTTTAACCCATTAAAATTTCATGGTATTCCTATTTAAAATTTTTGATGAATCTTAATTCTTCACTTAATGATTGAATAAGCTCATGGTGAGTTCTATGAAAAAATCCTTATAGAAATTCCCATATTGCATTGTTAAATATTTGAGCTTAACAACATTAACAAAATATTGCTATAACAATCATAAACATAAATGCTAGTTAAAATATTATTTTAAGTAAGGGGGTACAAATGAAAAGATTTGAAATTGACTTTTCCATTTCAAGGAAACAGCTGTTAAACACTTCTATCTTTCCTTCTTTCTTTCATTTTCTCACTGAAACCAAGTAGCATCTCTGATATGTTTTTTGTCTTTCCACGCAATCAAAACGGAATAGTCCATTTATGAGGTATTGGCAGAGCGTAATGGTCATGTAACTATGAAATAACTAATCAAGGGAGAGACAAGCATTATTATTATTATACGATTGTTTTTATGAGCCTATCATATTGTATTTAGAATCTGTTACTTTGTTTAGTGCACAAAGGAAACTTTTGTGCAAGTGTGTTTTCTAAATTTTGTATTCTGTATCATTATTATATTTTATATCTTAATAAATGTAAATTTCTTTCAGATTTCACATCAGAGTAAAAGTCTTGTGTTTTTTTAGTTTGAATCATTCGTAATATTTGGGATAAGAGCTTTGATGTTCTCTCTTCTTCTCCTTTCCTCCAAAATCCATTTGAAAGATGCCTTCTAAAAACTAAGCAAAGTATTAAGAAACATGAACTTTTCATTAGAAACAAAGAAAAGAAGTACTGAACTGTTATGTCATATCAACCACCCTTGTATGGCAATGAATGCGAGACAATTTCCTCACATGTGAAGAAATGACTTGAAACAAAAGAATTGGGGTTTTACAGAAGACACTGAGAATATCAAGGAAAATGGAGACAAAAAGAATGAATGACAGAACAAGGAGTGGGATGGATGGTAAAAAACAAACTTTATTAAGCGCTACAAAGGATAGGAAGATGAGGAGAACCATAATCGGTAATGTCTCGAAGAGACACGGTACATAAAAATGGTAGTCGTGATGATGATGATCATGATGATGACAACAGAAGTAACGATTTTTCAACTAGAGTTACTTCCCTTATGCCGGTGAGGCGAAAGCAATTTTTTTAATCGATGCGCGCATTAAAACGTCATAAAATTTAAACAAAAACAAAATATTTTATGAATTAATTATAAAAATAATTTATGCAGAGTTTTACACGCATGTTAGGAAGTAAAATAAAAAATTAATAAAAAGGTTTATAAGTTAAGAAAAAATATTGTAATGTAAAGTAAATTGTTACAACTTTTCACTCAATGTCCTTCTACTCCTATCTCATTCAGAATTTGTATCTGCTTGCGTTTTTGCAAACTTTATATAAAAGTTATTAATTCTTATCAGTTTTCTGCTTTATCATTTACTTTTTTTTTTCCCAATCAACTGTTCATAACCCCTAAGCTCCATGCTACTACACTACACTACACAGTCTTATGTTTTTCTTTTTGAATACCTCTTCAAAACTACAGCTTAACGAATCGTTATCTTTCCTACATAACATGCACTTTTCTCCTTTCCTTACGCTCATACAACACCATACAGCAACCCTCTAACTTGAGTGACACTTGGACCTCGTTAGGTCAACATAAAAAAAGGTATCGATGTTTTCCAGTTCGGATGATAGAGAATTTATTTAGCCCTAAACTAAAGTAAACTTTCTGAGCAAAACACATTTTAGTCCAAACTTTTTCAGCTGACCGGAAAAGGTTAATCTGATTTAAACGCTGAAAATACTTGTAATTAAGAGTAAAAAATACAAATTTTAAATTTGTTTATAAAAAAATCTACTTGGGAAATCATAATTATTGCACGTTTGTATTATCATGTGAACTCTCCATTTTAAACAAATACTAGTTATCTCCCCTTCGTTCGGATTGAGGATGCTGGCAAAATTCTAACAGACTGGAATTGATCCCGTAAGTTTTCATTCTTTGCTATTCTTTTGCTATTTATCTTAAGAAGCCACATTTAATGTGTCTAATCTTAGCTGGCATCAAACTTTGATATAACAATATTGTCTAGAATTGCCATGCTGTATATTCCTCTTTATAAGGCAAGCAAACGATCGGACGCGATTAAGTGTAGAATGATCACAAAATGGGGGATCGAAGTATTTCTTCACAGCTGTGTCACAATGTCTGCTTGAATGAAACAAAAAAAAGAAGAAAACAACAAACAAGCAGGAATTTGTCATTTGTGTCTTTTTCTGATGATTAATATTCAAAGTTTTCTAAAAATAATAAATATAGTGTCTGGGATATATTTGTCGATTTAAGCTGATATGGTGCGTAGTCGATCCTGAAAAGATTATTTTAAAAAGTCAACAAGGCAAAAAACTCCATCGTTTTTTTTTTTTTTTTTCGGGCTTTTCATTCCAAAAGAAAGAGATGGAAAAATGTTGTTAGCATCGATTAACAAGAATAGAATATTTTCTACTCTTCTATGTTATTTTATTGATTAAAACTAAAAGTAATTTGTTGAAAGGAAAAAGAAAAAAATCGAACGGGTTTTTAGTTTTGATTAAAAAACAAACAAAAATGAATGTTACCAATTGTTTAACAAAAGTAAAACGTTTTTTTTCTTTCTCGTTTCATTTTTGCCCGAGTCTTTTTGTTTATTTTTTCCTTCTTCAATCATTCCACCTGCATCTTTATAGTTAATATCGATCATTTTTAGTTATTCCACTTAAACTTAACCCATTTTTTATCTGAATGGTGATGATGATAATCGATAATCCAACTGAATCCATTTCTGTTGTGTTAATGATCGTCATCCAACAAACAACAGGTGGCATTTTTAAAGTAAACCGAATGTTTGGATTTTAGAATAACATTTAAAATGTTTATTATTCACATTTGCTCATTATCTTATTTCTTTTCACTTTCTGATCTCGAAGAAAGACATACACGCACACAAACCCAAAAACCTGAAGACATGAGGGCTGGAATTTTTTTTTTTTTTTTTTACCTTAATATTCGATTAGTTTCCAGATTTGGTATAATGCAAATAAACAGACAAAAATTAGAGGAAAAAAACAAAAGCTTCCAAAACTGAAACTTCTACTTAGTGTTCCCATCTTGGTTATAAATTCGGACAGAATTTTTTTTTTTTTAATTTATAAAAATAAAAGAAAGCTTATTTATTTCGATTCATAAAAAAATAGAACTTTTCTTTTCGCTATCACTTTCTTAGTTTTTAATTAAGTTTTTTATTTTTGATATTTTCCAAACAGTTTATCACCCGATATCATTTATCACAAACCAAATACTGAATTTGAATTACCTTCTCTAGATTGCTTTTTTTAAGTCTCATATTCTGAGCACACATCTTAAAATTTGTAGATGAAACATGATCAGATTTTTTAAAACTCTTGTAGACCTGTGAAGATTTTTTCCGGGGGATGAAGTAGTTGTCATGGACTCTTACAATCATTTTTTTAAACATTTTAAAACGCCTGAAAAGAAATAAAGAAAACAAAAAACTATCATCCAACTTACCAAGTAAGCCTGCAACAGATCTGTCATAAGTAAAAAAAACATCTTCTTGCCTTTCAAGCTCCTGCGAGGATAATCCCTTCCCTTGATCTTTCTTTATTCTTTAAGTTTTCTAAGTTTCTTTCTCAAGAAGAGAAGCATTTGACTTTTTTTGTGTGTGTCATTCAAGAAAAGTGCTCAATCTTCTTAACCTTGTACCGCGGATCTGTGGAGAACCTAAAAAAGATTGTTAGTTAAACTAAAAAAAAACTTTTAGTTTACTTACTTAACTAACAATAAACATTAACAATTATTACAATACACATGATGTTCAAATGGTGGTACTTTTCTATTTTTTAATAAACATTCTGTACGATGAGAAATGTAGTTAGAATATAAATTAAAATAATGAAAAAATGTCTTTTTAAAAAAGGAAAACGAAGTAATTTATAATAAATTTCTAATGAAATAATTTATTTAAAAAACGATTACAACTATGGCGTCGTATAACATGCCTTTTTTTTATGTATTAAATTTTAAACTATATTTCAACAACGCATCCTTTCTTGGGACAGTAGTACCGAAAAATGTTCAGGTATCGGGTATTACTGTATTATTTATAAAATTATGAAGAAAATATTGACTGTTTCAAACTTTCAATTTATATAGATTTATTAAATTCCCTTTCATTTTTAGGCAGATATCGACTTAATTGAAACATGTTTTTCTTTACTTTCTCTTGTATTGATGTTTTGAAGATCGAAAAATTCCCGAATAAGAAAAAAAAACAGATTTTATTTCTTTTTTTTGTGGGGATAAAAGATAAAGAACATTAACAATAATTTTGTCACATTTTTAAAAAAAAATGCTGTTTTAAAAAAATTTAAGTTCGGATCTAATTAAAAAAAAGAAAGAAAAAAGTCAACTAAAAATAGTTGTTTGAATGATGTTATTGTTTTTAGTTCAACAAACAAACCCGTTTTTAATTTTTTAAAAAATCGATCCGAATTTTGTTATGATCTCTCCTAAGATGACTTTTGGCCAAATACGAGTTTAAAAACCCATGATAATTAATTATATTATCTTCTTCTTACTTGATTACACACCCTAGAGATGATTTGCAGAAAAACAATAGGTTTTCTGTCATATTAAAATTTATAAAATATAAAATGACCTTTAAAATTCATATTTTTTGTTTCGTGGTTGAGAACCAACAGTTTATTTTAAAATTTAAAAAAGGAAATTAAACTCTCTTTTTATCGTTATTTTTATTTAATTTTTTTTTTTTTTGAAAACTGTAAAAAAATGTTATCGTTAGTTAACTTAAAGAACCCCTAAAAACTGTTTTTGTGGTACTCTTGGTATAAAAACGGTAGGGAGGGATATTTGTTTATTTCTATCTTTTAAATGAAAATTTCCGAATCTGTGAGCTTCTTAAAAGTAAAAACCAACCCGTTTATTAATTTTGCACCTTTCAACCTCATTTTCCGACCCCACCCCCTTACAGTTTATATTGCATGTTGAGAAAAATTCCGATTTCCTAAGATGACCCCTTAATAAGGCATAATTATTACGACTGAATAGTGAGTTCGATCCTTACTGATACCCCATACTTCCGGCCTTGTGCCACATCTAAGGAAGCTACGCTTATAAAATCACCACAAGAACAGCTATGATGACTTTTTTGCTTTTTATAAGCAAGTATTATTAATTTTTAGATTTTTTTCTAGAACAAAAATCATTTTTTTATTGTACGTACTCTTCTCTTTCTTGGTTATTTTTCAGTTTCACATAGCCTCATATTGCGTTGTGATCTTCTGCTTGTTACTTTTTTTTTTTTTTTTTTTTTTTTTTGGCAGGTCGAAACATGTGAGATTATTTAAAGTTCGTAATTCTATTCGCTTTCAACCCTTTACTACTGCCAAAAATAGTGTTCAGCAAATCAATAATAATAACAGTTTTTGTTTATAGCGATAATATAATTCTTATTCATGTGGGTGGGAGACTTTTTAGGTCATATGATAATAGCGTCGTAAGTTACTCTGTTTAAAAGCTGTTTTGCATGTTTTTTGTTGTCCTACAATACATAATTTTCTAGGTTTTCTTCTGCAAAACATGATTTACTAGGTTGGAGATCATCATTATTGACATTAAAAACACGAGAGTATCATGTTATTGTTACACGATGTCATTTACGAATTGTTTTGGAGTGCAGTAGGCGTGTTTGTTTTTTTTTTTTTTTGTTTTTTTTTTGTTTGCTTTTAAAATTTATTGGTGCATGATTATTTTAACAATTGGGACAATAATAAAAAAAAAAGTTATATATTCTCTGGGGCTAAAAAAAAAAAAATCCCAGTTTGCTCACGCGGAAAATTAATATTCAGAAACATTTTCTTTCCTCGCTTATAGAACTCCTTTCCAGCTCCATGCTTTCCAGCCAATTTTAATAAAAAAAAAACAAAAAAACCCCAAAATAAATGCAATGTCAATCGTTATCTACCGTCCTCATTACTCTCTTCTTTTTCTGCTCATTATTAATGCTTCTGTTCCTAATTCTTCCACACCCCGTAAGTGTACTGTAACCCCTTGTGTCTTAGTGGCTTTACTCACTGTCTTGCATGGGGTGATACCGATTAAAAAAAAAAAAAAAAAAAAAACTAGCGTCAGTTTCCTTAAGCCGCAATTTGTGTGTAAAGCAACAGAATTAGATTTTTAAAATCTTAATACATCAGCATTTTTGTAACTGACACCTGTAGTGGTTAGAGGTTCGTTAAGTATTTTAATTATTAATAAATGCTTATTGTTTATAATCATACTTTGTACCTTATTTTATTTAGTAAAAACTTAACACCAACCTTTAACCCTTGGGTGTCATATTTCCTACAAATCAATGTTTCTGTTAATCACTATTAATGCAACTAACTCCTTGCAGGTTTTTTTATTTATTATAAATAATTTATCTGCTATTGTTGCATAATACTGGTTTCCCCTAATAAGGGGGATGCATTTTTTTTTTCTTTTTTATTATTTCACTCCAAGCATGGCAGGAATACCACTGGTATGCAGAGGGTTACAGAGAGTGAAAGTGAGAGAAAAGATTGGGTATGGGGGGGGGGACAGAGGAAAGGATAAAAGCTTAAATGGGATTCAGTAAGATAGAAGATGGCGATTGATGTTGCATTTAAATTTTTGAAGATTGTAGTTATCAGGGAAGCAAGGAGACGGAAGGGAGTTCTACAATCGGGAAGTGCGAGAAAAGAAACTGTTGTAGTAGAAGTAGCAGTTACATTTAACTATTTCAACAGTAAAAGAGTGGAACCTAGATCCCAATCTAGTAGCACACTTAAACTCATTTAGCCTGGGCACCAGGAAAAAAAGCTCATCTGAGCAGTTGCCATGAAAATATTTGTAGAAAAGACAGAGGGAAGCTGCATTGCTGAGAA